GGAGGCAATTTCACAACTCTGGTGCCGAGGCAAAATGTACAGAGAGAACGGAGGAAAAATTGCCAAAAATAAGAGGGAAACTTATTACATTGTATTTAAACGAATGAAAATTGTAGAGCCGAAGCACAGTGGGTATTATTTGGACCTTCGTGAAACAACCACGAAAATTTTATTGAAAGAACATTCAAAAGTCGCTGCTTTTCATGTAGGAACTGGAGATACTACTGGAATCGCGGTTAAAATTACCTTCCTCTTGAAAAATCCTCTACTATAATATTTGACTTAAGTTCAAACCTGATTTCAGCGATGCAGCTATGCAAAGTTTAGATTTCTAGGACACATAAAAGCATATTTCAATGCTAAAACACGTGGAATTTGCAATGCTTTATTCCTAAAATCACTTTTTGACTCAATTAAGATGAGCGTGAAACTTCTATAGTTGCAATGAATTGCAATTGCATTGAAAAATTATTGAGAGGCACTCTTCTTACGGAAATGTATCGCTATAAAATTGAATTAAGTTGCAATGAGTTTTGCATTGAAAATCACGCACGTCTTTCACACATTGACGACTTTAAATTAATGTTTAAAATTGGTATTTAGTGACCAAATAATGTAGGTATATTGTAATTTCGCAGAAAAAAGTGCAATTTTATTGCAATAAATTGCAAAATTATTTCAATAATTTCGTTGCTCTGAGCTTCGTAGGTAGGAGCGTGCATCATCATGGAGTTTAATTTTAGCAAAATTTCGATAGAAGCCCCACGAATATCCGCCACGAATATCAACGACTTACAATAAATGAAACGCCAAAATTACTTTATGTACACATAAAATCAAATACGATCTCATCATTCTCGAACACTGGGCCGGATAGGGCAAACTATTCATCCACTGCGCGTAGATCCACTTCGGGAAGAAATAATTTATTAGTGGAATGTCCGATCGACTCACCGCAGGAACTTAATCACTTAATCTGTTTGGTCGGCTCAACGCTCTCCAACTCGACGAATGTTAAATTTGACAAATCATTACTTCTCGGAGGAAAAATAACTGAATACAGGGTGTCCTAGGGTCAAACTGCTAGACTACAGGAGTGTGTTCTTCAATGTTGATGCTTGTAAGTTGGCAAAACTGTTTTTCCTCCTTTTATATGTATGTAAAACAATCGATTCTCGGTGATTCTGACCTAAACTCGATATTTTTAATGGATTTAAATGGGCAAAAAATAGTGTTTCCAACTTTCAAAATCGCCTTTGGTATTCTACACATATACTGCCCTGCGAAGAAAAAACATCGTATGAGCCTTCAGGCGTTGCCAAATTTCCTCTGGTGAAATTCGAATTTAAAAGGAAACTGTTGGATATTTTTCTTCAAAATTTTCAGACAATGTAGTACACGATTTGATCTAATATATTTGAAAATTCAATACAATATTTGCGTAATCTACCTCAAAAATTCATGTTTTATCCGGAGAAATTTGGCAATTATTGAATGTTCATACGGCATTTTTTCTTAGCACGACAGCATAGGTCAAGATACGACTTTTTTCCCTCTAAACAATCCCCCCTCCCCCGTAAGTGCCTCCAGCCGAGTCACGGCCCAGACAATATTATGGTAAAAACATCGTTTTTTTCTGAATGGATCTGGATTGTGAAGTCGTTTATAGACCAAAACTTATAATAGATCTCCACCAAAATTTTCAGCGCTGAATATTTCTATGGCCCCGAAGATATTGAAAACTTCAGTTGAAAGCGGGTCTTAGTGGGTCGTGGATCCATCGGGGTATTAAAAATTGGGTCTCCCCCTTCCCCCTTCCTCTCTCTCTCTCTCTCTGAAACATACCCTTAAACTCGTAATTTCAATATTTTAAAGACCACGGATGAATTTATTATTGAAAATTCTGGAGGAAAGCCATTTCTCGTGAATTTCGGTCCATCATCGTCGCAAAAATTCAGGAAAGATGATAATTTTTCCAAAAAATCAAGGGGCTGTACCCAGTGTCTTAAGCCGTAGTCGACAATGGTGACACTTTCGGAAAAAAAAAATTAAAGAGGAACAAAAAATTGTTTTTGACTTTTTGAACCCAGGCCTGTAATCCAGCCTTAAATCCTGGAACACCCTGTATATACTCTAGCACTTACATCAAAGAGCATAGACCTCAGAGGGTAACATCCTCAGCCTCACTCTGGATTATTAGTTTGTCGCTTCGTGTCAATAACTCGCCAAAACATTATGGAAAATGAGGCTTTATTCGCTGCCGCCTTGATGAACTTGCTCTTGAAGATCAGGTCATGAACCTTAGTATGTTTTCGGCAAAAGACGACCATTCTGTCTACTTGCTGAACTACTCGGGTAAAAATAGAAGCCATTTAAGATGTGAATTGTTTTGCCTTTATTATAGCATTCAGCAGTGGCGTGGCGTACTTTGCGATCTATCGACATTTCCCTATTCGAAGCTGTGGTAAATAATCGATCATTAAGGTGTTCGCTGCGAACACCCTGTTTATCGATACTTTTCCATGGGTTTAAATGGCCGATCAATCGATATATCGCAAAGCACGCCACGCCTCTGGCATTCAGGAGAGGAGAACCGCGTTATTTACAAATGTGAAAAAAAATATGACTTTTACTGAAAATTTGACTTTTCTGGTCTGACTCAACAAACAAACAAAGCTTCTGAAATTCATGGAAATTAAAGTTTCTGAATACAAAATTTTCTCCATGAAAAAAGGAAAGCAAATCCCACAGCAATCAGACTCCCCCTCTTCTCCTAGAAACTTAATTCCCCTCTCAGTGAACTCAATCCCTTTATAATGAGCTGATCCCTACGCTACACAATTTTTTTCCTGTCCAAAATTGGAATGTAAATGAAAGCATTAGAGTAAATTTTTCTAAAGTGAAAATAAAAATTATTGATGAAAATGAAACATTGATTTTTCATTATAAAAGTATGCAATGGTTTCTCTAGTCTCTGTTGGTTCCAAACTAATATGGTTTATTCTCCTCTTAACTTTTTTTACTTTATGGCTCCTGTTAGACAAGCATGGACTGAGACTTTGGGCTCTAAAATACCTTCCATTGAAACTATAAACGACATTGTCTTAGCGTATTACATGATGAAAATATACACCCGCGCTTTCCATTTCCTCCCAGTCTTTGGGGCCCTTCATAAATTACGTCACCCAAGTAGGGGAAAGGGGGTCCAGCAGTGAATGACGGTTGGGTACGGTGAGAGAGGGAGGTCGAAAAGTTGAAAAAAAATGGGTGACGTAATTTATGGACGGCCCCTTTCATTATTTCCCCTTCCAAAATTTCAATTGTTTTAGAGCTATGTATTTTAACATTCAACAAGAGAGTAAGCAGCACCCTTTTTTCTGCGATTTTCGGAGAAAAGTGAAAAATCAATCGGATCTTTTAATTCGTCAATAGTAGGTTTGTATTCGTGGCCTTCCGCGAGACTAAAAAGAATGTTCTAACAGAATTCTCACAATTAATTAGTCACTCATGTTCCGCACGGTTACGTTTTTCTTCGTTGTGTGACATGCTAATATTATAATTCACCGTCTAAGGTTTTCCGGTGACGCTGCCGCTTGACTCATTTCAGTCGCCGGATGGAGACTTTCAGATTTCAGGAAGCATTTTAATGAGCAGATACGTTTTTTTTTCGGATTTTCCCACGTCTTGAATCACCATCGAGCTAATGCATGCAGACTAATAGGATGTTTCAACGTGGGTGCCTTTTTTAAATGCAAAAAAAGAAATTTTCACTTGACACAACACGACAGAGAAACTGCAAAAATGCGTACCTCGGTTTCGGTGTTTCAAAATCTCCGTTCCTATTTTATTTTCTGAGAGGAAACCAATTCGAAATCGTCAAAGAATATTTGTCATGAAAGATAATTCACCGAAGTTTTCAAGGAATCATGTTTAGTAGTTTTCCACGTGGAAAATAAAGTGTGACAGGAAGTCCGCATCGCCGCGAACCGAGATACGCATTCAACAAAAATTCATATGCAAAAATTCTGCGTACGTTTTTTATGAAAAACTTAACTTTATTCCTGTAAAAGTCTAAATATGATCGTGTCGTTTAGTGTCATCGTTATTGTTAACGATCAAAGATTTTGTTTTCAGCTGTGAAATAAAAGTTATATCATTCGTGAGGGAAGTAAAAGAAAAATAGACATGGGAGAAAATAGAATCAAAGAGATGAGAAGTGAATATTTGATCTCGAAAATGTCATTAGAATTTAGCACTGATGAAAGGTTAGTCATAATGAGCTAAAGGTCGTGTTCTACATCAATCGAAATACATAGTTTGTCAATCCGAACTTTCTAGTATCAAACCAAGAATTCGGTTCGAGTGGTCAAACTATGGGATTGGACCAATACATCGAAAATTTCGTTTTGATAAACCGAATAGCATATGGATCGTTGGACTTTTTGTCATCTTCAGCATGGGGGATCCACTAAGAAATCACCATCACCATCACCCCCTCCCCCGCCGCGCGAGTATCCTACAGTTTTTATAACCCTTTAGTATTATGCCCTAAAGTATTATGCCGGTTGCGATAGGTTCAGAAATAGGTATTTTAAACAACTTTAGAGACCTGAATAAGGAAAAATTTCATTTTGAACTATTTAAATGTATGTAGAGTAATTCAAAAAGTATTAGCATTATGTATCTGAACTTTAAAATGACACGTCTTATGTTAAATTCTGTCGAAGTACCGTTTACCTACCCGTCATATAAGACAAAATTACCAGGAAAAAAATATAATCAACAAATCTGAATTGCTTTGAGCTACACGTGGGGAAGAATAACAGAATTTATCTAAATTTAACCGCATCTTGGGTTGCGGATCATAGTTGCCATATGGGGCAAAGAAATATTCACATTAAAATTTAAGAGACGAGAGAATATTGGATTTGTCATGAAGGCGAGGCAACTTGCGATCGCCTGTCGCCTCAGGTTAGCGAGTACCAACTGTCAACTCTTACCTTCATTGTGATGCCGGAGGGTGGTGCGGTCAAAAAACTGATTAGCACCAAAATCTGCCACTTCACGTGCACTTGGCTGCGGCGTCGCTCATCTCGTGAAGTTCAGAAACCGCGTTTGCGCACTGTCCACGTTTGTGGTTTCGGTGTTTTTCACCAAGAGGAAAACACTAGAATTTTCCCCGACTCCAGAGTTGAACGTGTTAACGAACCCAGTTCATGACACCGGGTGAGCCGCTTTTTGCGTGGCGACTAATTGTCTCAATTCACCGGTTCAAGCTGGACTGGTCGACGGAAAACTACTCTGGAGCGTTCAGTTTAAATTGGAAATTACAACACACTTGCACCCACTTTTCTGAAGGAAACTTGGCAATTTTCTCAGTCTGCAGTCCTTTTCGTTCGTAAACACAAAGCTCTTTCGGCGTAAAAAATAAGTCATATCCCAGTTCTAAAACGTTCGGGTGAATTTTTAGGGCGCATTTAGAGGATTTTAAAATTTTTGAAAAATAATGACATTGCAGGAAAAACACACGTTTTTTAAATTTGTTTCTAAAAATCAATGCTGAAGTCACATCACTGGAGTTAAACTCTATTCACACAACTTACGGTTTCAAAATATATTTAGTGCTTTACAGAGGATATAAAATTTTTTGAAAAATATTGAAAATTTTAAAAAATGAATGAGTTTTTTAATTTCTTTTTCTTCTATAAGTCGATGCTACCACGGTCACATTATGACAGTTACACTTTTTTCATAGAAATTACATTTCCGCGGTACGTTTAGTGCTCATTTAGAGGGCATGGAAATTTTTCGAAAATTATGACAATTTTGCGAAACTTACGAAAATTTTTCGAAACTTACGAAAATTTTTCGAAAATTATGAAAATCCTTCGAAAATTATGAGAATTTTAAAAGATTTATGAGTTTCTAGATTTGATTACTCAAAAGTCAATTTTCTTAGGGTCACTTCACTGGAATTGCACTGTTCTCATAGAGCTGACGGTTCGAAGATATTTTAAGGGCTCATCAAGAGGGATGAAAATTTTTTTGAAAATGTTAGAAGATACACAAGTTTTGAATTTCTTTTTTAATTTTCTTTTAGCTGTTAAGGCTACTTGAAACACATCACTGGAGTTACACTTCCCGTCGTGGAGCCTGGGGTTCACGTATTCCCTCCACAGGTGGCTTTCCCGAGTGTTCTTGGCCGCGAGCGAAGCTGGAAATCCGCGTGGCGCGGGGGAGTCGGCGCGATTTATAATGAAAAGCGGGCGCGATTGGGTCGCAATCGGAAATCCCAGGCGGGAGTGGATCTTGGATCGCGGGGTCCGCCCTGGTCGAGCGAGCGATCGGAAGTCACTCTCCGCGCTAAAAAACGAGATCGAAGAATTAACTATCAGCCACCACCAGTTTTACGTTCAAAACAAAACAAGCCCGTGCCAGGCCTACCTGTCGCACGGTGGATGGAGTCAGTGGGGGAGGTCGGAGACAATTTGGAAACTTTAAAGCTTATAACTCCGTTCATACAAAATGTTGATGTTTTAAAAGTGGTTTTATTGGTTTCCTCGTGAAATTGTCTTTTAGAAGCACTCCTTAAAATTTTAAATGTGACGCCTGAAACATCAAAATTTGCGATTTTTGTTAAAAATGTCATGTCCGACTTCTCCTTAAAACTTGTTCCACTGTGCGTTGCCCGTCGGCCGCCGCTGTGCGCTAACGCCGCGCCGCCGGCGGCGGCGTTGGCCGTCTTGGCGGGAAACTCCATTTTTTAACCCTATTCTGACGGAATGTTGTCTCTTAGGAGTTGAACGAAGGAGGAGAAGAAAAAATAAAAGGGAGGAACAAGATAAGAAGGAGAGGGAACAGTATAGAGGGAGAGAGAAAAAAAGAGAACATGTGAGAAAGAGAGTGCAGGAAGAAAGAGACGAGAAACATACTTTTCTGTTTCTCTCCATTTTTGTCCTCTGTTTCTTCTTCTTCTTCTTCTTCAATTCTTCTTCTTCTTCTTCTTTTCCTCCTACTTCTCTATTCTTCTTCTTTTCCTCCTTCTTCTTTTCCTCTTTCTTCTTTCCTTATTCTTCTTTTCCTCCTTCTTCTTTTCCTCCTTCTTCTTTTCCTCCATCTCCTTTCTTCTTCTTCATTTCTTTCTTTTTCTTTCCTTCTTCTTCTCCTTTTTCTTCTTCTTCTTCTTCCTCTTATTCCTTTTCTTCTTTTTCTGCCTCTCCTTTCACTCCCTATGTCCCTTCATCTTCATCTTCTCCTCTCTTTCCCTCTTCATCTATTTTACTCCACTATGCTTCAATGAAAATCCGGTGCTCATTCAATCATTATTGTTTTCCTAGTCCATTTTTCAGTTGAATTCGTCAAAATAATTTTGGTGGAATTGATTTTTTCCAATTTATAAGTTAAGGTGTATAAGAGAAATAAGCAAAGCACCCTTAGTTAGTATCGCATGCAACAAATGCTGAACGAGTTTATCATAGCGCCTCGATGCAACTATTCGAGCTCGACGGATGTCCGTGTTGCATACGCACGGAAACGAAGGCGTTTTGACCCCCTGTGCACTCACCGCTTCACCCGCGGCGCGGTGCGGCGCGCGGCGCCTGCCTCCTTTCTGCAGCGGGCTTCACACTTTACTGTGGGGATTTATAATTTTGAGAAGATTAAAAATACAAAGAGGAAAGTGGTTAGACGCTCCAGTCAAACAGACCAACAACTAACCATATTTTACTTCGCACGGACATTAGCTGATCAAGTACCCGTATTCTGGCATTTTGCCTAAATTTTTTTCTTCCACTCAATTTCTTACGTATAAGAGAGGTCAAAGATGTGCAAATAAACAAGAAACCTATTAAGTGCGACCCTTCAATAATATTTAAAGTTAAAAATACAAAAGTAGCGTAAATTTTTTACAGAACTGAATGGGAAAGCACACATATGATAGCAATACTTTTTTTCTCGCAAATGCTGCACTCTAGGATGAATTTCGGACACAAGTTCCATGTATATTGGTTTATTTTGGGTTTTTTTAAAATACATTTCTAACGTGTTTAGGGTGGAACTTTAATGATAAGAACAATGAGGCGGTGCATTATCTGTATCGCATTTAGCAAAAAGGAACCAGCGCGATCACAGCGTTTTCAAAATCTCGCAACTTCTTACTTTCTTTTAAAAATACTCAAAGTGTGTACGGTATTAAAATTTGCACAATTAGATTCCTCAGAATCAACAATTTTTTTAAGGGAAGTGAAAACTATCTGCTATTCTGGGAGATTGTTTAGATACTTATGAAGAAGCAACATTTTTAATCACGCTGGTTCCTTTTTGCTAATACGATCCAACTGTTACCCAACTGGTTTGGCTGGTGGACCCGCAGGTGAATATTTTCGATAAATCTATGATATTTCTGCATACTTTGGCAACGACGCGAGCTGCGAGTTGAACAGTTTGCCTAGACCTTGCCGCTCGACGAGGATAGTTGACCCCGGCAATGCGACCGCTCAGGTGACGAGGGCCGGCGCTACCTATCATCACGGATTTATCTCGATTCTCTCAGTTTTTGCGTGGAATTTATCGATTATAATTACGAATCGCAATAGATTGATTTTGTGGTTAGGGGCCGTCCATAAATTACGCAACGTACTTTTTCAGAATTTTTGACTCCCCCTAGGTAACGCGTTTGTGACGTAGGCCCCCTATCCTTTAACGCGTAAAAAATGGTGTAACGCTCTCCTCGACTCCCCCCCCCACCCCTAGAGCGTTACGTAATTTATGGACGGGCCCTTAAGTCATCAACAATAGGACAAGACCTCAAGTACAAATTCTGCATAGAGTTGATTTTGTGTCAGTTCCTTATGATTTTCTCATGAAAAAATCGTTTCTCTAGAAAATAGGAAGGAAGTAAATACAATCAAAGGTGTGACCGCATTTAAATAAAAAGGAACTATATCCATTGAGAGAAGAGTTATGTCGTGTCAGAATGGATATGGATCCTTTTGATTTAAATGTATCCGATTTTTAGATGAAGTGCGGCTGTGCCACCCTTGGCAGACCAATGGCAGACCCAGAAAAGTAAAAAGATTGCAAGAAAATTGCCATTGTATTTTCCAAAAGAAATACACTATCGCATTGTATTGCTTATGACTTCAAAATGAACCGCTAGAAGCTGTGTAAGCAAAAAATGGTTCCTCAGGAAAACTGAAGGAAAATCAACTAAATTTGATGGTCCTTTTTGGGTCTAGCGACTATGTCATATTTACATAAAATGTACAAATGCCAAACTTAGAAAAAAAATTGCATATAAATCACGGCGATCAAAATTTTCAGCACTATGTATCACTGATCAGGAAGCAGTTACTTGAACTAATTTTCTGCATTAAATTTTAATTGAATATTTTTAGACCTGGACGAAAAAATCACTTTTCATTTTATTAGGGGATTTCGGCTGGCTTCGCGGTTGCAGCATTTAAAAGAAAACTTGCGACGTTGCAAGTTGAAATAAAAGTTATTTTTAGATTCCTGCGAGCGTAACACATTCCTCCCATTTTAAATCGTTCTTACAAAAGTCAGCTTAACACATCAACAATTTACAGTTCTTTTTCAACACATCAAGGCCTTGATAGCCGATTCGTGATAACGGTAGATTCCGTGAAGAAGATACCTCTCAAAATTGCACACCGTCAGAGCGCCGTGATCAATAATGCAGGCGTTGATGAATAGTATTTACGGCAACAATGCTGTGAGAACTGTGGAAGATTAAGCTATTATTACGATTAATTATGCACCTCGCGTCTACCGTCCAGCATCAAGCTTGCCAAACTGAACGATAAACTCAACTTTAATGTGTGTTTTTTATGACATTTTCGATGAACTTGCGTCGAATTGGCAGTTGTTTATGAGTCCATCCAATAAACCAAAGGCTCGGATGTGTAGTCTTATTTTTATCGATTTCCTGGCCGTGTTGGTAAACAACAAAAGGCTCGTGTTCTTCCAGCATCGATGCATGCCCTCTCGATGAACGTTGGTCTTGGTCATGACGTCACAGGTTCGTCACAGGTCCGTTAAAGTTGGCATATAGTTAACCCCTTTCAATGCCACCAATGAAAGAGGAAATTGATACAGATCGCTGTCCTGTGACGTAACACTAGTAGGGTCTGAAAAGCTTTGGATCTTAATAATAACAATGACGTAATAACTTTTAGTGATGCATTAGAGATTAAAACAATCGATGTAGTTTTTTTGTAACGCAGCGATGGCAGTGTCTATTAAGCATACAAGACCGCATGCAGTTGTGGTTAATCGTACGGGAAAAGGGATTTTAGTCTATGATGGTAAAATTCGCAGAGGAGCGGTTTTGGCAGTTGATTCGAAAAATTTAATTCTGATATTTTAACGGAAAATCCTTTTTTCTTTTCTAAAGTTTTAATTATTAACGGCTCAACTCATTTTTGTGCCAGCCGTCAAATTTCATAAAAAATTTGGCAGTTTCATATTCGGGACAGTGATGGATCAGAATTTTAAATAGATTTTTCTCGAAATTACGTGTCTTGAACTACAAACTTTTAAATACTATAACTTCGGTTTGGTTTGAAATGCTCAGGCTTTCCTTGCCCAAATATGTTTGTAAACCCTTCCTCTGTGCTTTAGTATCAA